CCGTCCCCGCGAGCTCCCTGCCCCTCCCGGGCGCGTACAGACCCGGCCCCCCGCCCCCTCCGAGCCCCCCGGGGGCTCCTTCCCCCGCGCCCCCTGCTGCCCCCTCCCCCTTCCCGGCAGAACCCCTCCCCCCACTGCTGTGCCACCTGGGGGGGGGGCTGCGAGGAAGAGGGGCGGGGCGGGAGCGAGACCCTCGTCCCCAACCCAGCGGGGAAGAGGCCGGGCCCAGGCTGGCGTGCGTGTCAGGACCCCGCCAGGCCACCGCTCCGAAGGCCTCCTCGATGCCCCAGGCGGCCCCTCTCCACCTCTGGGGTCCTCCCCACCTCCGAGGCTCCCCAGCCACAGAGAGAAGGCTGTTGGTTCGGCCTGTCTGGCTCGACTCGGTCTCTTTTCTTTTCATCCATCAACGGACATTGCACTCAAAACCCTTTTTGTCCCCAAGCCTTTGTGAATCTGCTTGTGTGTACCAGGCGCAGCCGCTCTTGACACAGAACACGGGGGGGACAGCCTTGGTCCAGGCGGGGTCTGGGGTGATGGGTGTCCCATCCTGGTGACTTTGAGAATCCTCCAACAGGGAAACGCCCCTGCCGGTCCTGCTGTGGCTCAGATGTCTGTGTTGGGGTCCCAGCGGGTGGCATACAGTAGGTCCTCACAAAGGCCCATAGAATTGAAACAGAGGCATTTTATGGTTCAGTCGTACCATTCGTTAAACTAACATTTATGCGCAGTTCGAGGGCTATGCGTGAATGATCCAGTTAATCCTAGAGACATGTGCTGTTATTATTCCCGCCTTACAAATGAGGAAATGGAGGTGCAGGGAAGGAAAAGCCCGTGGGCAAGATTCTAGAGTTAGGAAGAAATCCAGGAGGCCTGCCCCGTCCAGAGGCAGGCCCTGAGCCCTTCCTCGAGCCCTTCCCCTGGGGACAGTAGAGCTGGGGAGCTACTTTCCTGCGTAGGACCACACAGCGGGGCCAGGAGGCTCCAGCCGGGTCTCAAGTCCCTGAAGCTGGGGTGAAAAGCCCCTTCAGCCCATTCCTTAAGGTTCAAGAACTCCTTGGAGGGAGAGGAAAAACAGGTGCAATAGAATTTTCTGGGATGTTGTAAGCTGCAATCAGGGAATGTGAAGAGCCTTTGGGCAGAATTCCAGAGAATTCTGGAACCAGAGTCTTTTGTAATGGCCCTCCTGAAGTACCAGAGCAGGAGGAAGTTCTGACCTGCAGCCCATAGCCCCAGGGTCATCACAGCCCCAGTGGTCCTTGTGGCCCCCTGGTCCCCTTATCTTAGCCTGGCCTTGGCCACCTGTCCCCACAGGGCACCAAGCACTTCATTGCACTGCCCAGGCTTCTGGGTTCTCCCCCCTTCCTCCTGCAAGTGTGGCCTTGAGGAAGGGCTAGGGCCGGCGTCCCTGGCTCTGCACAGCGGCTCTGCTGAGAACAGCCCACCTGGCCTCAGCACTGACCTCTCACACCGGTGCTGTGGGTCTCCTCAGGTGCCTGGTAAGGGGTGGACACAGCTGTCCCTGGGACTAGAGGAGTGGGAGTTGGGTCAGGGTCCTGCACTTCCGGGCTATCACTAGGGGCAGGTGGCTTTTCCCCTTGAGACCTCAATTTCCTGACAGTGCAGGCTTATGTGAGATGACGCATGTGAAGCACGTCTATCAGTGTTCCCTACCCGGTAAGCATCACAACAGGTTGGCTGCTGTTAGCATTATTATCGTTAATATTTGGTCTGCCCCACAAGGCCCCAGAACCGCAAGGGCTCAAGGAGGTGGTAACAGGGGAGCCGCCCAAGGTCAACCGAGTGTTTGCCAGTGGAATCTGGCCAACTGAGACAAACACTTTATCGTCATGGAATCATCTGATCTCAGGATGGGGAAATGAATGAAAACCAAATACATGAGTCCCTGATGGTGGGGCGGGGGTGGGGAATGTGGGAGCCCAGCCAGGCTCTGATCAGCTTCCACTGTCACTCCAGCGTGCTGCCCTGTGGGCCACTCGGGCTAATCCCTACCTGGAAGCCCAGTGACCTCCCACCCTGCTCCACCCCTGGGGCTCACCCAATCTGGCTCAGTCCACCCGGTCCCAGAAGATTCCTATAGACTATCTCAAGACACAGCTAGGGTGGTCGAGCAAAGTCCCCAAGGAGGGGGCAGGGCAGTCTGCAGGTGGAATCTGCTCCCTGGAGATTCCAGGAGGGGGGTGGGGATGGGATGGGCTCCTTGGACAGGCAGGAGGCGTCCCAAGCCATAAGGTGGGATTCACCTTGATTTTGACTTTCTGAGACCTGGAGCATAGGAGCCAGGTGAGCCCACCTGGATTTCTGATATACTGATGGTGAGCTAATAAATTTGTGTTGCTTTAAGTCAATACATTTGTGGTAATTTGTTACATGGCAGTAGGAAACTACTACATTACTGCTCTGGTATCCAGGAGGCAAGGAGGAAGGAGAGGAAAATTACATTTCTTTACATGATTGCCCTTGAAAGTTTATTGCCCTTTTGTTAGCGGGACATAACCATGGCTCCGTTATATGACCACCCCCCACTAGACAATGGGAGACACTTCTGTTCCTTTCTGTTGGCTGTCCTGGCTTCTCTGATTAATACCAACTGGCCATCAGTTCCCTCCCCATGGCAGGTGTCTACATGCTAGTTCTCTAAAGGGTCCGGGGTCAGGGGCCCGGCGGGCAGGTGTACGGGGGTGGGGGTGGGGGTCGGAACAAAGCGCGACTCCTGCCTCCCTAGCTCAGTGCGTGCTGCCAGTAGACATCGTGTAGTCTTCTGCTGCCAGGGCTCTGTTACCCCAGGAGTGGCCACTGAGGGGCTGCCTGCAAACTGCTCCCACCCTCGCCTGAGGGAAACTCCAGCAACCTTCCCACACCAAAGAGGGGGTGCTGCCCAGCCTCACCGTGTCTCCCTGTCACAAGGTCACTCTCCTGTGCCTCAGGTTGCTGCCCTAGAAGGGGAGTCTTGTGAGCTGGGTTGTGGAAGGACCCCAAGAAGTGTCCCCTTACCCCTTCCCAATACCTCTTTTGGCACCTCACTTCCCCTATTCCCTCCCCATCCCCTCCTTCTTTTATCCCCTTTTATCCCCCC